CCCCAGTACAGAAAAAAAGCATGCAACGCACGTGCATGTCCTGGGTTCAACCCCCAGTACAGAAAAAAAGCATGCAAGCCTGGGCTCCAAGGCTTCTCAGAAATCGTAACATATCAGGGATATAAGAACTTTTCTAGAGAAGAAACCAAGTAGCTACCTTAACTGTACACAGTGCCTACAAACGCCTTCTGGTTTAAAGGAATGGTAAAGGGCCAGGGATACAGCTCAGCGGTGCAAACAGCACAAATGCCTGCCTACATGGCAAGCACAAGGTCCTGAGTTCGAGTGCCAGGATGAGATAAGGTTCAGACACGATAAAGGAATGGTTACAAAAATAGAGTTTTTCTTTCTTTCTTTCTTTCTTTTTTTTGGTACTGGGGATTGGAACACACTGAGCTACAACCACAACACTTTATTTTTTATTTAGCTAAATTACTTACCTGCCCAGGCTGGGCTCAAACATGTAATCCCAGAGTGCTGGAATTATAGACACATGCCACTTGCCCAGCTGGAATGTATGCATTTTAGAAATCAAGAACCACATAACTCCACTTGCATAAACCTTCCAGTGAATTTCACATGTATTTTCCACATTAACCACAGCAGTGCATCAGTCGCTAAGGTAATGGAAAGTATTTGTGCCATATACTACTTTTTTCTCCAATGTCCACCATTAGGACCCCCTATCAAACTCTCCTAAAATATAACACTAAAATTCCCAACACAGCAGAGCAGTTAGAAACAGGCCCTGCAGCCCGAGTGCCTGGGTTGGGACCCTGGTCCTGAGCCTATTCATAACTTACAATACTGCATGTTATAACTGCAAGGACAACAGCCCTCGTCCACCACTGGTCTGGGAAATGATTTAACAGTACAGCAATCTCCTACTCATTTAGAAACTTTAACAATACAAAGTGACAAATGAAGAAGGAGCCAAAAGAGCCCAAGAGCAACCAAAGTCAATGACAAAAATCTCTCTTTCAAAAAGTCCATCATAGGGGCCGAGGGTGTGGCCCGGTCCTACCAGCCCTGCACCTGTGAGGCCCAAGTTCATCCCTAGCATAGGAGAGACAGAGAGAAAATCAAGTTCTCAACAACACTATTTCTTATTATTAAAGAATCAGCTTGATTTTTCTAGCCCAATGCCCGCTGAATCAGGCGCATAAGCTAGGGGGAAAATTGCTTCTAGAAGCAACACAAGGATGGCATCTAGGAATGACAGAGCCTAATGCAAAAACATACATTAGAGAACCAGAAAGTCACTGACATCAAGAAATAAATGCGCATGGAATCATCTACTTCAGGGATGGATAACTGCTTATTCCAATGAATACCAAATGCAATTGCCATTATATAAAAAAATTATAATACAATACATAATATAATTTTAAAAACTGATTTTTATAAAGTACAATGCTCAATATCCCATACACAAAATAACCACCAAGAAGTGATTAAATATTAAATAATCTAAAAAAGAAAAATAGTTGCCTACTAATTTTACTTATGCGGGGGGCCTGGCCTTAGCTCAGTTGTTTAAGTGGCTGCTTCCACAAAGCTGTCAGCCTCAGGTTGCTGTAGTTCGATCCCCACAACACTCCAGCCAGCCAAACCACCCCTGAGGGCATTCAGATAAAAAAAAAAAAAAAAAAAAAAAAAAAACACCTTAATCCTAATTTTACTTATGACAAAAATTTTCTCTCTTCAATTTTATACAAAAATGTTACTATCACCATATTTTGCCACAAAAGTATAAATTTCTAATTTATTTATTTATTTACTTTTTGGCAGAACGGGGGATTGAACTCAGGCCCTTGCACTTACCAGGGAAGCGCTTATTCCACTCAGCCATCTCTCCGGCCCTAAATTTCTAACTTATACATGACCTCCCTATCTTCCCCTAAGGTTCACCATGTAGTCTATACACCAAGGAATAGCACTGTTAGGTCACAGAATAATTCTGTATACCTTTTGGGGAAGGTTAAACTGTTAGAAAATGAGTCTTTAAAATAATTTTAATATAATTTTTTTAAAGTATAATTTTGAGCCTAATGGACACTATAAAAAATGGCATACCATCAGCTTCACAGAAGTTGTCCGAAGAATCGTCATGCTTGGTCCACTGAAGCACAGCCTTCTGCGTTTCCTCACTTCAAACAAACAAAATGAATAGTGTCATTTTTTTCTCAGGTTAACATATGACATGAAAGAAGTGAAGTACTAATAAAAAAAAATACCAGCCAGGTGTGGTGGCGCACGCCTATAACCCCAGCACTCAGGAGGCTGAGGCAGGAGGACTGCTGAGAGTCCAAGACCAGCCAGCTGAGGCTACCAAGAGAGTTCAAGGCCAGCCTGAACTATACAGTGAGAGCCCATCTCCAAAAGACACACACAACAAAGCCCGTACCTCAGTGATTCATCCACCGCACCGAGTCGCTCGGCTTGCTCACACTCTTCAATGACAGTATTGGCTTCTTCAGAATACTAAAACGAAAAAGGAGGTACATTGGATACCACTTATACTTGTAAAGCTTTCAAAAAGAATTTAGAAGAATACAGAATTTAAAAGTTATCACTATGGCTTCTAAATTTTAAAACTTTTTACATTCCTCTTGAGGCTAAAACCTAAGCTGAAGGCTTGCTTCTTGTCTTAGTTAAACATGATTCAGTGTTACGTTCCCAAAATAAAGACTATAGCTCTGAAAATGAATTCACACGATGTCCAGAAATGCACAGGGTTTGTGACCCTGCTTTTCTCTGACCTAATGTTGAGCGCTGGCACTGTCCTGGTTTCTAATCCTCGTACCGCCACCCCAAACAGGTCCTGTCCTAGTTTCAGATGTGAAGTACAGAGGAGTTAAGGCACAAGGTAGCGGAGAGCACTACAATTTTCACATAAATCTAAAACTGTCATAAAATTAAGGTTTAAAAGGGAATCATAAGAGACACATAAACCAAATTCAATGTATGGAACATAACTGAATCATATTT